TTATGCTTGGTAAGGTAGAGGGTTAGTAAAAAAGAGGAAACCCTCAACAAGATGGATTGACACAGTGGCTGCAACAATGAGCTCAAACATAGCAATGGTTGTGAGGATGGTGCAGGACCAGGCAGTGTTTTGTTCTTTTGTACATTGGGTCACTAGGAGTTGGAACTGTCCTCAAAGGGATGAAAATAGAGCATGGGAAACTCAGGAATCACTTGAGTCTGAATATGAGAAGAAAGCACAAAGGACAAGAGATATTGGGAAAAATATCTTCAACATAACCCTAATTTTCTCCTTTCCTGCTCTTGTCAAGTATTGTCAAAAGACTGAACTAAATGCAGGTGTAAGGAGCCCTGATGTTACAGTGGTTGAGAGCTCAGCTATTAACTGAAAGGTCGGACCTCACTAGCAACTCCATGTAAGTTGCTGTTTCAGTAAAGATTTAGGAAGTGGAGGGGGTTGGGGGTAGGGTTTTACTTAGTCATAAGGTCACTATGGGTCTGAACAGACTCAACGGGCAACAGGTTTGATTTTGGTTAAATGAAGGTCTAACCTTCCCTCACTGTTATCTTCATTTTATCTCTCCCAGTTCTTTTGACTATTACGCAAAAATCCTGTCTCTTTGAGGACCATTTAAAGGCTTTTAGTTATTCAATTAAAGCTTGCTTGCTTGGGTATTATGAAACATGACTTCATTTGCAATTAGTTTGACAGTGAAAGCAATGGTGTATATAAAAAAGTATTTTGGGTCCCCCCACGTAAACCACACATCAAAAGAGCAGGAAAGAAGTTTGGAGGAAATGACACAATCTATTAAGATTCCACATAAAAAATTTACAGAGTTCACAGAGATAGAATGTTAGGTCCTACAGGTGTTTCTCTTGGTTATTTCTGATTCCTGCCTCAAACTGTTTATAAAATATTTAGAAAACAACACAGACAAATATAGTTAAATTGAATTAGTTGGGAAAAGAAAACAAGATGAAATCTAGTCTGATCTACTTAGTTAGGTGTTCTCAGGGAACAAAAAACACCATCCCAGTTGAGGTGTACAGAGAAAGCAATATTTGAAAAAGAGTAGCTGATCTTTCTGCACAGATTCCAGGAACCCAATATTCCAAATAGAATATTGTGGTTGGATGATGGCTTCTAGCTAGAGATTAATTTTTGAGCTTGTTACTATCCACATGGTCAATTTTTTTAACAGTTTTTGCAATTATTTTTTAATACTATTGCTTACATCTCAGGGGGAAATGAGGCTATTAGTGCTTAAAATTACTTTAACTTCAAGTCTTCATTTTGTAGGATTACCTCAGTAGAGCCAATCACATTTTTGAATTTGTGATTTCAAAGTAGTAGTTCCAAAACATAGCTGTATTTGTAGTTGTCCACAAAAAGTGACAGAGCACAATAAAGTAATGAATGAAGGCATGGAATAAAAACTATCCAAAAAGTGCAGCATAGTTTGAAATTACTATAAGAGAAATGCATTGGCCATTATTGTTATCCTATTCAATTTGACTCCTGGATAAATACAATTTCACTAGGCTTTTTCATTTTCTTTTGTGATACAGGAAAAAAGGTAGAGTTTAAACAACATAACAGGAAAAAAATAGTAGAAATTAATCCAATTTGAAAACAAGTAAAGTTAAAATCTTTGCAATGAGACTTTTCACAGTGGGGAAAAAACAGTAGGTCTGCCACAAACCACAACTCACATGTTGGTGTTTGTATTGCAAAAATAGAATCAAGTGTCTAATGAACATGAATGCAAATTTCCCTTTACTATAAATTTTGAATCTCTAATGTTAACTAGACCATCTTTTATTAAAAAACTAAATTTCTCTGCTGAGATGAGAAAGGAAGGCTCACGTCTTATATAAGATTTTTATTTCAATGTCCTGTAAAAAATGCAATCACTTTTAATTTTATTTTGAATAAAGTATTGTTTGATGTAATTTTGTAACTTTCCTGAACATTATTTAAGAGCCAATTTGTACTTTTTTACAAGAATATGTCACATTTTGCCAGGGTTATTGGTTTTATTCTTCTTGAAAAATACTATGTACATTTTTAATCAATACTTTAGATGTTTATATTTTAATACATATATTTGTTGAGACTTTTTCCATCATCAACTCTCAGAATATGTTAAATTAAAGCCAGATAATTCATTCTGGAATACAACCAAGGATTCCTTCATTCTAACCTTTGCTTCTTGGCAAGAACTTGGGCCCTGCCACACATCTACCCAGGAAAACCATAATCCATGACTGTCCAGCTTTTAGGGAATGAAATGCACTCTCTGGAGTTTTCTGTAAGAAAGCAAATCTACTCTCAGATAGGCAAGTGAGGCTGTTCTCCTTGTCACCAATGACTGAGATCCCCAATGACAATGAGATCCCCAATCCCACCAGGGCCAGTGCCCTTTCTCATCTTTCCCCTCCAGGCAAGTCACCACTGTGGTGAGGGACACTTGGTCTTCCATAGAAACAGAAAATGGACATATTTTCCAGTATGCTTGACTCTGTCATGAAAGCTCTAGGAAGTGAGTGTAACATGAAATCATTCCTTCCGCCTCACCAGACAGATGGATAGAGACATTCCAGTTTGTTTCCACTCTTTTGTCTTTGGAGCATTTTTGGCATTTCCTTCAGGAAACTGGAGGTTGTGACCTAAGGTTTCCTTAGTGAACACACTCCTGTTTCCCACAGTTAACCTTACCCAGAAATGACATCTAGTCTATGAGGTGAGGTTTATCTTCACGTCCCAACTGTGTCCTGTACATATTCAATGACATTTGAAAGCACAATTCTGAAAGTAACAACAATAGAACTGGAAAGCTGAACACAGAAACCAATTTAAAACCCAATGAAGACAACATTATTAAAATAAGATTGAAATAACTCATACGACAGTTTTATGATGCTTCCAAAGTGCTCTTGCTCTCATTTTATAGTTGGAGAAACTAAAGACTAAAGGTATTAAAACTTTCAAATACTAAGAATTCAAAGCTTTCAGATAAAAAGTGTTATGCTACTCAGCCTGCATTTTACAACTTGCTACCTCATTGATATTGTACATACCCATATTTGTTCAAAGTGTGGAGTAGGAGAACCCAAGACAGTCTCCTGGAAGTAATGAAGGGGTTTAATATTATCTCCAATGTTCAAATTCCCACTTCCCTAGCATGGTGGTAAGTGGCCAAGAATGTAAAGTTTTGTTAATGGGTTTGAGCTGATCATTAAGCGTCATAATCTAAGATTTACAACCACATTGCTTTTATTTCTTTAAAAATCCATGTGTTAGAGCAGAATTACTTAATTTAGTTTGCCTTGAATGCAGTCAATTTAAAACTCAAACTATTATATTTACTTGCAATGTGGTATTTAAAAAGTTGGTGGTTTTCATCTCATTCTTTACTACTCTTCGGTGTTAAATTATTGAAGTTTCTCTTCCTGAAGCAGATAGGGTGGTTTCTGAACAAACCACACTTTTTTTTTTTTTTCACACTCCAGTTTATCAAGGTAAAATCCTTGAAAGAACAACAGAATTCTGCCCTTAACTTTTTGATTCCCAAAACCACATAGCATCTTAATAATTATTTTTAAAAATGCTCTTCACAAAGGGATCTCTTTAAAAAAATCAGTTTATTAATGTTTAAAAGTTGATAAAGCTATGTGCAAAATGATCCACGAAAGTCAGAAACCTATTAAATACTATTTAAAAAAAAAACATCAAGACATTTCTCAGTTTAATTGCACTGAAGAAAACCATACTAAAGAGACAACAATATATTTTTATTCTTTGTAACATTTATACACCTCTTCAATTAACTATCTAATTTACACTATACTGAAAAATGTCTGGTGTTCCCTATCAGTTAAAGTAATGCTTTAAGGGCACAACAGAATGGTATTATCTTAAGATATGCACATTCAATGGTGTTAACACAAGTTAGAAAAATCCAATAAAATGACCTTTGCTGAAACATACATTCAAAAATCATAAAAAGTATTTGTAACACAATAAAATACAACCATCCTCTTGGTTGGAACGAATCACACAACACTCTGAAATAAACATCAAGAAAAGTGCCAAAGACAGATACTGTATTTGTTAGACAAATTCATTAAGGAATCTCTCTTGGTTTACAAAAGTCAACTCCTAGTCAGTTTTCACCTTGTTTTATTTTATGACTAAGGATCCTGGCTGATATCATTTAGATAAAGTGGATTTCCTATATTTATTCAGCCACAATGAATATGACACTGTAATTCATTTATTTCACTGTAAAGAAATAATGTTTAAAAAAAAAACCAGAAAAACAAAGTGACTTCAACCAAAATTCCAAAACACTGATCCAGCTTATGTGGAAACTTTGGCCTCAGCAAATGAAATTGCTTTATTTTCCAAATCATCTCCATCTCCACATGGTCTGGCTACTCAACCCAGTCTACCTGCTACAGATGGCCAAGCAATGGACCATGCCACCACTCTGGTTGTGATGAATGCCAGACAGTTAACATATAAAGTAAAAGAATTTGAGGAGGAGGTGTGAAGGGGAATGGAGAACAGGATATGCAGAACATTCCTAGAGAAGTAGAAGTGCACACACTCATTCTAAAGTGAAAGAAAACATATTCTCCTCAAAGTTCCACAAAAAGATGCATTCACATGGGGCCATGAGTCTTTGAGGAGGGGCCAGATGAACCCTTTAGGAGCCTGACAATGCTAGACCTTTGGCTCAATGCAAAATCAAAGCTCCAGAGGGGAGGAAATATATTCCAGGCCTGGATCCTATCTCCACCCTTCCCAGTGCACTGTTCACAGGAACTCTACCCACCAACACCTGGCACCATCAGCCTTCTCTAAGTCTCTTCTTCCCTCCTTCTAGCTTGCAGCAGCTCCTAGCTGGCAGAAGTCGAGACCCAGAGAATTTTTCCAAATACTGGGGTGGTGACCACATAAGAACACTCCCTATAGATTGGCAGCTTTCAGTTTTAGGAAGAAGAGTTGACATTTCCAGAAGACATAATGGTCTCTGGGTTGTCCCCATCGTCTTTCTGGGGATGGGAGGAATTGTCGGATTTACTGCGGCTGAATTCCACACCAGCTATGATGGGTCGCTTGAATTTGCCAGTGGAGTCTCCGCTAGGACACTTGCAGCAGGACATGATCTTGATGAAGGCCCGGCGCATCTCCTTGTTGGTCAGAGTGTAGATGATGGGGTTGGTGCCGGAGTTGAGCACAGCCAACACCAGGAAGTACTCAGCTCTAAAGAGGATGCCGCAGGTTTTGACCCTGCAGCCCACATCTAGCAGGAGCAGGATGAAGAGGGGAGCCCAACAAGCAATGAAGACACTCAGGACAATAATCACTGTCTTGAGTAGCGCCAGTGACTTCTCAGAGCTCCGGGTGGCCTTGGATATATTCTTTCGAAAGGTCAGACGGCGGCTCCGAGTCCTAACCAAAGAGTAGATTCTACAGTATAGGATGACGATGGAGAGCAGAAGCAGAGTAAAGACGGTGGTGCAGAAGAGGATATAGTGCTTGTGGTAGAGTGGCAGCACAGTGGAACAGCTGGGCAGCGTGCCGATGCAGTTCCAGCCCATGATGGGCAGGCCGCCCAGGATGACCGAGATGACCCAGCAGGCACTGATCAGCAAGAAGGAGCGGAAGCTGTTGCTGCCATTGTGGAGTTTCATCTTCAGCATTGTGATGTAGCGCTCAATGGCGATGGCTAGCAAGCTAAACACGGAGGCAGACAGGGCCACAAACATGCTCCCTTCCCGCAGAAACCATTGGGCGGGGGTAAGTTTGTAGGTGGTGGCCCCAGACAAAAGCAGGTTGGCCACATAAGCCACTCCTGCCAACAGGTCTGAGAGAGCCAGGTTACCAATAAAATAGTACATGGGTCTATGGAACTTCTTGGTTTTCCAAATGGTCAACAAGACAAAGATATTCTCCAGAATGATAAAGCAGCAGATGAGGATGAACATCACCGAAGTCAGTTTAATGCCATTCTCCTTGTCGGTGCTTATGTTCAGCTTTCCCGTATAGTTGTAATGCAGGATGATGATGTCATAGTTGACATAGTCGGAGACGGAGGAGCGGAGGTCCTGCGGGATGCTGTTAGATCCCATGGTGCTGCACTGTGTCCCCGGGAATCCAGGGGTAGTACTTCTCCAGACCAACGCTAGAGGGCAACGTTGAGAAGACCGTCACTCCTTGCCCGAGTGGTTCAGTGAGACAGATCAGGCTTTTCCTTGGCTTGAGGGAGCTTTGGAAACAGCAGCCTTAAACAAGTCACAAAGAGGAGAACGTCAGGAAAAAAGCTATATCACACTGGCATAATTCACTCTAGCTAAGGCATTGTTCCAGTTTTATTGTTGTTGATTTGTTTTAAAGAAACTTCATGAGAGCTCAGGGAGAGGAATAAAAAAAAAAAAAATCAAATTTTCCTTGATTGCCAAAAAAAGGGGAGTGGGGGTGGTAAGGAGAGAGCAGAAGAGAAACCAAAAGTTTGCCCTAACTGAAAACTCCAACTGGTCAAGATGCAACCTTTCCCTACGGTGGGCCACATCCACTCAAAAGAAAATGGGAAATGTGAAGAACCGTGACCCATTCTAATTCTATTCCCGTCCTCGCTCCCCAATTTCCAGCTCAGAGATTCTCTGAAATGTTCACTGGCTCAGCCTCGCACTCACCGCCAGCTCATGGTTTCTGCACAGGAGACATCCAACTGCCAATGTGAAGGCAAAGACACACACCTCAGCCTCTCCTTCCCCCAGCTAACAGAGACGAGCGCCACCTCCTAATTGCCATGCAAGAAATTAGATTTGCACGAAAATCACTTGACAGCGTAAGCCATTCTATGGGCTCTATTAATAACTCTCTAGGAGCAGGTGTGCAGGGTCTGCTCACCACCCTGGGTCCTAGGGCGCAGTGAGGTGTGGGCAGCCAAACCCTCCCTAGCCTTGGGTAAACAGGAAAGAAAGCTTAGCGCCTCCGTGAAGCAATTGCCTATTCCTCCCCACCACCACCACCACCCCCAAGCCAGTGCAAGTGAACTTAAAGGAACTCAGTGAAAACGATTCCTAAGAACCTGCAGTAAATCCTAGAAGCTCGGGATTTTCATTGATTGCATAAGTATTTTTAGTTACAGTGTAACACACACACACAAAAGAAGTTATACTACAAACGACAAAAATACATGCCTCCACATTCCTAATTTGAGTGCAGAACTACTACTCTCCAGAAACTCGCATAAACTGACGTCTGGTGCGTTGCTAAGCAAAAGTGGACAGTTGTATTGACTGCCTTCCCCAACAGTTCTATGCCTCTTCAAGTGAACTAGAAAGCATGGAGGTAGCAAAACACAACATTGTTTAGCAGAATTCCAAAGTTGCTTAAACACATGTTTCAAAGTAACGCAGCAATTGTGATTTGTTGTTGTTTGGTACCGTCGAGTCAACGGTGATAGAAAGTGGCATAACAGAGGTAAGAAACACCCCGACAATTCCCGGGACAGAGAGGCTGCTGGCGCCGAGCAGCTCCGAATTTCCCCTTCGAATTCTGCACCCTGCGCTCGGGGACTGTTAGTTTAAAAGCCACTTTCCCCACCCCCTTATTCTTTGTCTATAGGATTTCCAAAAATAACCGCCTTCCTCCCTCTTCTCCGACCAACCGCAGCTTCCACCCCTCAATCCCAGTCGGTTCTACAATTGGAATTTAACCCTTCTCCAAACTCCATAAATCAGAAAAGTCCCAAGAACAATCCAATGGGGTTGCGCTCGTTAGTAGCTTGTTTTCAGCATCCAGATATGTTTTCAAAGTTTTCGTTTGGCTTCGTTCTTAAAAATTCGTTTTTTATACCGAAGTCCTCCCCTCCCCCGTGGAGCTCCGCGCCCGGGCGGGCGCCGCTCTCAGGCTCCTACCTCGCTCAAGCAGGACGGAGTTGCTTTCGGAGAGCCCCGGGTCTGCACAGTGCGCTGGGCATCTTGCTGCCGCTGACTGACGGCGTCGCGCCCTTGCTAACTTACTCGACTCGGGGTCCCCTCCCTCTGCAGCCGTGTACTCCAATGGCTAGCCCGGCTCTCAGTGGCCCGCGCCGGCCCGCCACGCGAAGCCGCGGAGAGCCACGCAGAGGCTGTGTGACTTCTTTAGGACGAAACCCGGAGGGGTTAATGCATTTAGCCCCCTTACGGCCTCAGCCAGTAGCTGGGGCCTCCGGATCTCCGCTGCTCAGACACACTGTCCAGGAAAGATCTGGGGCAGAAGCGGAAAAAAAAAAAAAAAGAACTCCTCCTCCCTTACCAGCAACCCAAATGAAAGAGAGAAGGGGCGGAGCCCGGTGCCCCCAGGACTTCAATGTATAAATCACAGCCCTTGCTCTGCCATCCGCTGCTTCCAGGCGATGCCGTGGATTCTCCCCAGCTTTGGAAAAGAAAGGTGAAGAGCCTTTGGAAACTTTTCTCCCGTAAAGGCTTAGGGTGTCCAGTAGTAACTGGAGTTTGGCAGCGCTCCGCCTTAGTCCCGCACCCCCGCAGCCCAGATGGGATCTGAGGCCCTAGGCAACCCCCAGGGCGAGTATGCGCAGCGCGGGGAAACCCGAGCCGTGTCCCTTTGAGACCAGGCGGCGCTTAGGGGCTGAGAGGCTGAGAAGGGGCTACTAGAGGGATACAACAGGCCAGTATCGCCGGAGGGAGAACGGACTGAGAAGTTCCTCCACCCCTAATCCCCGTGCTGCCGGGAAACTTGCGGTCAGAAGGACAGAAAGTGGCTTTCCGGGGATGCGTGGTGAAATGGGCCAGTGCCGGGAGAGGTGTTGGGGCGAGGTTTTCCCGCACTCGACTGGGCTCAAAATCAGACCTGTGTCCAGGATTCTGGTCAGTGGTGAGGCCTTTGAGTAGGTGGGCTGCTGCTGGGTTCTGGGGATTTTAAAGTGTTGGTGGCTTGAGAAGCTCAGGAATTTCCTAAAGGAAAGAGCCGCCCAGCCCTTCAGGCGCCTCTAGCTGCCCGGTTGGATACTGGTGCCCTTCTCTCCCTTCCCATCTGCGAGTTGACTTCGGAGGTCTAACCTTAGTGCTCACACATCGCCCACCCCTTCCTTTTGCTTAGACGCAACCTCAGAACAAGAAGCTGAGAGGTGCCCCTGGTCAGTTTCGCCTGAGTGGCAATAAAGTACTTCTGCCCCTCCCCTACAGCTACCTAGACGGTTCCCACCCAGTCTTTGGTCGCCCATCCCAGCAGATGTGAAGGCAAAACTTCCTCCCCTGTAAAGTCACTTGATAGACACACCCTGTACCTGAATGACTCAGAAGGAGGCTGAATGAATAAGCAACAGACCCCTGGCTTCTTAGATCTTATGAGTTTGCAAAAAACATGAAGTGACGGTTAATTCACAGCTGCCTTAAAGCCCTCATCAACAACTTTACACTCAACATACACCCACAAATTCCACAACAGTACACACATATATGCTACATGAAAACTAAGATAACCGTCCTCTAGACTTCAGAATAAGATGAGTGTCTCTGATTGGGTTTCAGGACTTAATTCATTTTAAAGAGGAACCTAAAAGTGGGGACTTGGCAACCCTGCCCTCCCCCCCACACACCCCACTAATTTATAGATTGTTTAAAAGGGAAGAATTTAAAGTGACTTGAACATTCAGACTGTATCAGACATGGTGATAAAACCAAACCAACTTGCATCCAGTCAATTTCGACTCATATCCACCCCATAGGGCAGGGTAGAACTGCCAAATAGGGTTTTCAAGGCTGTAAATTTTTGTGGAAGAGACTGCCTCATCTTTCTCCTGCAAAGCTGCTAGTAGATTTGAACTTCCAAACTTTTAGTTAGCAGCCGAATGCTTTAACCACTGCACCACCAGAGCTCCTTGGCACTGTGATATATTATCTAATTTAAAACTATTACTATTTTAAAATACTACTTAAAAAGCCCACCACTTGTTTGTTGGTTTGTTGTACTGTGGTGGTTTGTGTGGTGCTGTGAGACTGGAGGCTATGCCACCAGTGTTTCAAATACCAACAGGGTTGTCCATGGTGGACAAGTTCACCGAAGCTTCCAGACTAGAACAGACTGGGAAGAAGGACGGGGCCATCCGCTTCTGAAAGAATTGACCACTGAAAATCTTCTGAACAGTGGTGAAAGACTGTCTGATATATTACTGGAAAAGTTTAAGAATAGCCCTGAAACATTGTCTGATATAGTGCCAGAAGATGAGCCCTTCAGGTTGGAAAGCCTTGTTGTTATTGTTGTTATGTGCCGTCGAGTAGGACCCGACTCATAGCGACCCCTCCTTGGGTTTCAGAGGCGGTATCACTATGGAAGTAGAGACCTTAATGATGTGATGGAGTAAAGCTTTAGGGACCTTCATTTGCTTATGGGGCACAAGTCAAAATGGGAAGAAACAGCTGCAAACATTTATTCAAAATCAGAAAGTGGAATGTACAAGGTATGAACGTAGGAAAATTGGAAGTTGTCAAAAATGAAATGGAATGCATAAGATTGATATCCTATGCATTAGTGAGCTGAAATGGACTAGTTTTGGTCATTTGAATCAGACAATCAGATGGTCTACTATGCCAGGAATGACAAATTGAAGAGGAATGGCATTCCATTCATAGTCAAAAAGATCGTTTCAAGATCTATCCTGAAGTATAATGTGGTCAGTGATAGGGTAATATCCGTACATCTAAAAGGAATACCAGTTAATATGACTATAATTCAAATCTACACACCAATCACCAAGCAAAAGGTGAAGAAATTGAGATTTTTACCAACTTCTGCAGTCTGAAATTGACCAAATATGTAATCAAGATGTTTATTGATTGTTGTCAGTGATTGTAATGAGAAAGTTGGAAACAAAGAAGAAGCACCAGTAGTTGGAAAAATATGGCCTTGGTGATAGAAATGACACTGGAGATGGCAAGATAAAATTTTCAAGACCGACAATTTATTCATTCCAAATACTTTTTTGAACAACATACATGGTAACTACACATGTAGACCTCACCAGATGGAATACACAGAATCAAATCAACTACATTTGTGGAAAGAGATGATGAAGAAACTCAACATCATCAGTCAAAATAAGGCCAGGAGCTGACTGTGGAACAGACCAACAATTGCTCATATATATGCAAGTCGAAGTTCAAGCTGCAGAAAATGAAAACAAGCCCATGCGAGCCAAAATATGACCTTAAATGGATCCCACTGAATTTAGAGACCATCTGAAGAATAGATTTGACACATTAAACACCAGTGCTTGAAGACCAGATGAGTTGTGAGATGACATCAAAAACATCATACATGAAGAAAGCAAAAGGTCATTAAAAAGGCAGGAAAGGAAGAAAAGATCAAAATGGTAAGAAGAGACTCTAAAACTTGCTCTTGAATGGAGAATAGCTAAAGCAAAAGGAAGAAATGTTGAAATAAAAGAGCTGAACAGATGATTTCAAAGGGTGACTCAAGAAAACAAAGTATTATAATGAAATGTGCAAAGACCTGGAGTTAGAAAACCTAAAGGGAAGAACATAGTTGGCATTTCTGAAGCTGAAAGAGCTGAAGAAAATATTTAAGCCTTGAATTGCAATATGAAGGGTTCTAGGAGTCCTGGTAGCATAGTGCCTAAAGCACTTGACTGCTAACCAGAAGGCTGGTGGTTCAAACCCACCAGCCACTCCTTGGAAGGAAGGTTGGGCAATCTACT